TGCAAGGACACAAAAGTATATATTCCATATTTCAATATACCATGACGAGTAAACGCTACTCAATTTGTGTCAGCACTCACTGTGAGTGCAGCAAATGTGACTTACCTCAATAACATAGCTAAATAGTAGTGTAGGGAGTGACCGACTAGGAGATACCCAGACTGTGGAAGAGACTAGTAGTATATTGGACTAGCCATCGTAATCAAGTGTTGGAATGCAAATTCTTTGCCGCACCGGCTCTCTGCCTGTACCGGGCGCTGTCTACTACATAGAAATGCGGCCAGCCATTGTGCCCTGGAATGTCAGCCATTGCAATGGATTCGGCATATAGCAGTTAAATAAAAACGAAATCAAACTGCTGACACACGTGGCAACTGGGCCCCCAAGACAGCCAGCCAGCCAGCCAGGGCTGGGCAGGGTAGGGCAGATCAGGGCAGAGCAACTTGTATTTATTGTTCAAATTTTGCGACTTTTCTGTTGATGTTATTGCCACTTTTGCAGTTGGCGTTGCCGTTGACGTTGCTGTTGCTGTTGCTGCTGCTGTCACTTTTTATTTATTTTAGCCCTGCACGGCGCCTAACGCCTCCGGCTCCGCCTCCTGCCGCTCCACATCCTGTGCTAAATATGTTTCAAAGGAAATTGATTTGCGGCAACAGCAACAAAAGCAGCAGCAGCAGCAATGAACAATAACAACAAACAAGAAGTCAAAACATCAACAACCAGTATATAGAATGAATAAAGTGGATAAGACTGCCCGACTAGCAGCTACCCTGTCTAATGAAGCTGCAGAGTTGAGCTGAAGCAATAAGTGAAAATGAAGTAATTGATGATTCTGGAAGGATGGGGCTAAGCTGTTGTTCTACATTTTGATTCTGATATCGAATGGAACTAATGAGGATAATAATAATGACTCTAGCATTAGATAATAATTGTGATTATATTAGTATTTCATTCGCCAACTATCCACAGTCATGGCTCTTTGAACTACCTAAAGCTTATACTATACCACTGGCATCGTCTTCGAGTGTTATCTATAGACACACCCACTTTCATTGTCAGCATCGAGTACGGGGCATAAACAGCTTTATTTTATATGGCTTTCGCCCGGTGAAATTTCCTCTTTGCCAAAAATTGCTCGTCACGCTGCACTTTGGCTGACCCACAGACTAACCACCAGCAAGCCATCCAGGCAGACACACACATAAACATAAACATAAACACAAACACACACACACACACACACACACACAGGCACATAGACTCATAGCGTTGTCTGCAATTTTCTTGACAGTATGCCCCATCAATCCATTGAAACGTTCCACATCCACATCATACATACAACCCCCCGCCCCGTCCCGCTCCTCCACGCCCCACACTTGCATGTGAGACCGAGACGAGGCAACTTTTGTGACAGCGACAATACAGAGCCCCCCTCTGGCAGCTCGGATGGATGCCAACGCCCCATCGGCCGCCCGCTGTACAGTCTATAGAATTTATCCGCTGCGCTACTTTTCAGCAGAGAAACATAAATTGTTTGGCTAATTGCAAGTGGCTTTCGTCTGTTGGCGCTGCTGCTGCTGCTGCTGCTGCTGCAGAGCAGGCAGAGAGCAGCAACAAAGAGCCCAAGTAGCACCGACTCGCGAACAAAGGACCGTCTCCTCCAGCTCCAGCTCCAGCTCCAGCTCCAGCACTAGCTTCGTCTTCAGCTTCCATTTAGCCACACAGTCACTTTAAGTTTACAGAGCTCGTCTTTCTCTGCGCGTAATTGGCAGAAGAAAAAAAAAATGCTGGGCGTTGGGTGCTGGGCACTGGGCGAGAACATGTACGGAACATGGACAGGACATGGACAGCACTGGCAGTGATTGGGCCATGGAGCTACAGCTGCTTTTTGGCAGCCAAGTACATTGTCAGAGGTCACAGTTCAGCTCACACTTGCTGCTTACGAAAACGTTTTAATAACTGTCTTTTTGATTTTATATTGTAGAATACGAAAATGCAATTCAGATAGATCGATATTTGTATGCTTAGAAAGAGAGGGAACGAATATTAAAGTTGCAAGCCAGCAAAAATTCAATTGAAAAACATTTCCCCATCTTCGAAGTTCTTAAAGAGCTTAGATTATATAAATATACGTATATTTTTTTATAAAAGCATAAATAAATATTTATAATATAAGGTGAATGAATGAATATGAGTTGAAAGCGAAACTTTATGCATAGCAATTCCAGTTCTACTTTAGGATTATAGCTGTGTGAATATATTTGTGCATATATAAAGGTTTTCTAGAGGACAACCCATTTAACAGATAGAGCGAGTTTCATGGTATTCCATACCACACATACTCCCATCAGAAAAATATTTCCTGTCGGTTTAAATTGTCTAGGAAAAATAATAGATCTGCTCGCAACATTTATAACTTTGTTCTTCGACTGATCCTATTTTGTATATAATCATGAATTTCCTATTCAAACTTAAGATAATCCATAAGCATTCATTAGTATTATAATTTTTAGATTATAAAGTAATTAAAGAAGAGTTTCACTCTCTAAATAGTTTGCAGACTATATGGAATACAGAAATAAATATAGGATAACTCTGTAGGGATAGTGTAATGGATTTCAAGTCAAAATCCGATCCTATACGTCGTGATGGCCATCACCCATTATTTGGCTATTATATCTGGGATGATCTAGTATTGCATTCGCTGGTCAAACAGTGCAATTTGTGCAAGAAATATAGGATATTTTGTAGACTAGTTTAGTCCATTCTTTTCTCAACTGGTTTAAGAAGGATTCAGTTTTAAAGAGTCAACTTGGATTAGAATGTAATTCCCATAACTTTTTGCTTCACTAAATTCATTCATAGGAATGGTCAAGCGTATTCAAGATACTCTTACAATTAAAAATAGAATAATTATCTTAAGATTCTACTGTTTTCCATCAAAACAAGTTTGAATTTAGGAAAAGAGTTTTATTATTGTAATTCAGCTTTAACATTTAAATAGACAATCAGTCGAATAAAATGCCAACATTCATTCAACATATTCAGTAATTCATTTTCCACTTCACTTCACACGCAAAAACATTCCAAATGATTGTTGTTCAATTGACGAGAATATTATTTGAAAACAATGAAATAATTCCATGCATATTAATTGGAGCTGTGCTGGCTTAGAGCGATAGACGTGCTGGCCGCTCGCAATTGCCATTTGATTCAAGATTCATGGCTCTTGGCCGCATCAAAGTGTGAACTGGCAGCTGGCTCAAATTAATATATGTATGTCGTTCGTCTGCGGACATTGAATGAATTTCTATTAAAGCAATTACCGCATATCACGTTGCAAATCCCTGGCCAAATTTGCTTACGGCTTAGGCATTCCGCAAAGTGCGTGCATGTATGTGATTCGCCTGGCTTTGGCTTCGGCTTTGGCTTCGGCTTTGGCTTCGGCTTCGGCTTTGGCTTTTACGAAATTGAAGTTGAATGCAAATATGCGCCCGGCCGGGCGAGGGAGAGGGGCGGCAACAAGGCTGGTGCTAATTGCCAAAGCACACATATTGATGAATAACAACGAATGCCATTATCTAAACAAATATATAACAAATTGACACTGAAGGCTGCTGCACAATAACACTCACTGGCTCTCTAATTAAAGGCTTACGGCTGGGGCAGCGGCCAAGCAAACAAAGCACATTGGAATTATCCGTAGAGCACAGCTGCACTGACAAACAGGATGTGTTATGATAGACTGCAAGCTATGCACTTCCACATAAACATTCAACCAATTCCATATGCGAGCCATTGCCAGAGAATCAAGAAAATAATACACACTAGATAGCTTAGCTCTATTCAAGAAGTATAAATATTAAATTCAATTAGGAGAACAAATGAGACTGTCCAAATTTATCAAGCTCATTTTAATAGTCGTTTACAAAGTGTCTACCCTTCGTGGCCTCCGACTTTTTGTCTGCTTTTACTACTCGTCCCTCGACCCGTTTTGCTGTCCGTCTAACTATCCGCCTTGCTGCTTTTTGCACGTCTTGCTCTCCGTCCTGCTGCCCGTCTTGTCGTACGTCTTGCTATCCATTCTACTATCCGTCCTGTTATCCATCTTGCAGTCCATCTGTCTCCATGAACACATTTCTCTGCTACTGAAGCTCAGCTAAGACTTTTTCAAAATTAAACTAAATGGGAATTACTATAATTTATGTTACATAAGCTCTAAAGTTCAGGCGCTATTGCAGCAACAAACTTGTAGGTCGGCAAACCGGAAAAAACTTTAGACCTTAACCTCTTCAGATTTACAGCTACAAACTGACAATGTGGTAATTAAATTGGCCAAGTCTTCTGTGAATTAACTTCCTTTTTCTATTGTTCTTGTAAATATCCTTTACATTTTCCTTCATTTTCGCTGCTAAGCTACAGGGCTGTCTGTATTCAGTGGACGCATCTGGCAACTCTACAAGGCCTTACAAGGCTGCCCATATTTTTTCCAGTCAAAGAAAACACAATTTGTGGACAATAAGAATTGGTTTATATTTTTATTAACATAACTTTTCTAATATAACAGATCTCAAATGTCAGCCTGTACGGCGTATAGTGTCAAAAGATATAGGGCTGCCAGATGGGTGCATCGCATGTGGATAGCCCAGATATACCTTTCAAAAGCTTGCCTACTCTCTTAGATTTTACTGCTTTAAAATATAAAATATAGTAAATTTGGTCCAGCCTAAGAACAAAACCTAAGCCAACTCAAGTCTCTAGTCCATTGTTCTGTCAACGAGGAGCAAGTCGTCTAATTAGGTTAATTAAAAGTGCATGCACAAGTTGGTTCGATTGTCTACTTCGATTTCATATAATAATAATTAACCAAAAAGCCTTATTTAGTATGCCATAAATCAGATCTTAAAATCAGATACTTGCACGGGCAGAAGATAACAATATTAATATGTATATCTATCTCTCTCTCTGTTTGCATGCTTGCCCATACATGCATCGTTTAGTGGTGGTCGTTAACCAACAAATGCGCTCGACCACAAACCTATTGATTATCAACCTGGCCGTCTCGGACATACTCTTCGTCATCTTCTGCGTGCCGTTCACGGCCACCGACTATGTGCTGCCGGAATGGCCGTTTGGCAATTTGTGGTGCAAATTTGTGCAGTACATGATTGTGGTCACATGCCATTGCAGGTGAGTTAGGCCCGGGCCCATCGACCCGGAATTGTTCAGCAGGCGTGCATGTGCCTGTATGTATGTACATATATCTGTGTGGCTTATTGTTGTATTTTCTTTGCCCGACAGCGTCTACACACTCGTCCTGATGTCCTTCGATCGCTTCCTGGCCGTCGTGCATCCCGTCACCAGCATGTCCCTGCGCACCGAACGCAATGCCACGCTGTAAGTAACATCGCTCGACCCGCCCTGTAGCACCTGTGCTATTGTGTCAATTAGTTCGGGCTTGGCCTAGCCTGGCTGAGACCCAATTGGTTTGCTCTCAGCCCACTCCTTGGGCGCCTCAGGGCGAGTGTGCGATGGCACAATTCCAATCAGATTCATATCTAGCTAACTGACTAGGCTTATCCTATATTCATGGCTTCAGTTTTTCCGAAATTCTCATTAAAGCCTCTCGATTAAGCATAAATTCTGCAACAAAAGTTTGCAAAGCCAATGAAAATATTTTGAAATGAATTTATGCAAATGACATTTTCATAAACTATTCAGAAACAGCTGCAGCCGTGGCCACGTCTCTGATTGGCCAGACGAGAGTAAATCAAATTAATTATGAATACTGATACGGCATTAGGGCCTAACAAAACCAACTAATTGGGCATCAATTACCTAAGACATTTGCCTTTATTTGTCTTGCCAACACACACACACACACAGTGCCATTATGTGTGCCTGGATAACGATTGTGACAACTGCTATACCCGTTGCCTTGGCCCATTCGGTGAGGATCTACCAGTATCATGGACGCGCTGGCACCGCCTGTGTATTCTCCACCGAGGAGGAGGTCTGGAGTCTGGTTGGCTTTCAGGTAAGTCAAGCGATTGATTGCACGCTTTGTGGCCTCTAATCTGGCTGTCGTTCGTACCGTTCCACACGGCACTCCGCCCCTACCCGCACCGTTCGAGTCGACTCTCTGATTAATGTTGCCACATTATTCATGCCTCGCCGCCAAATTTGTCACTAGCTCGCGGCTCTACACATGGAAATTGCGTGAAATTACAGAATAGCGACTTAAGTGACGTCTGCTCCAAGAGCAGACACCATTTCCACACAATTTATCGCATATACATATAGATGAGTGTGTGACTGTGTGTGAGGATACATATAGATATACATATATATCGCTTATTGTTGCCGTAAACTCATATTTTGCAAAGCTTGAAAGTAACTTGCAATATATTTGCTACTTACACACACTCAGACACACACGCACGCACACACACACGCACACACACGCACACACACGCACAAGTGGAGTGACGAGGCGAACGACATCGCGCTGACAGCGTTACAACTGCACTGTGCAACTGGGATTAGTGCTAACGGAAATGCTGTGCAACAATTGTACTGTTAGCTTGGAAGCTGCTTTATTTACAGATCAACAGTTTGTATACCCAGCATAGGGTCTGATGATTTAACCACAGCCACATGGTATATGTTAACAGTAAATACATCAATGGTCAACTAGCAATCGAACTATTTATTGTAGTCAACTTGATTAGCAAGCATTCGAGATTGGGCTGTTTAGATACATAATTCGATCAAATATGTTGAAGTGAAATGAAATCGCCATTGAATTGTGCTGAAGTCTAATAACACTAATCTGTAATTTTTCCTAATATTTCTCTGATTCTCCCTCTCTCTTTATTTGTATGTGTGTGTTTTTGTTGTGTATCGCCCTCTGTATCTTTCTCTATATCTCTCTCGCTCTTTCTGCCCCTCTCTCTCCCTCACTCTCCTTCTCTTTCTCGTGATCTCTCTGATTATCTCTCCCTCAATAGCTCTTACTCACTAAGACTTTCTTACTCATTCTCTCTCACTTTAAATTTCTCTCTCTCTCTTTAAATTTCTCTCTCTTTCTCTCCCTATCTATCGCTCCCTCTCTCTCCCTCTCTCTCCCTGTCTATCACTCTCTCTATCTCTCTCTATCTATCTATCATTCTCTTTGAATCCCTTTGAGATTCCGCTCTGATTCTGCTCGATCTCTCTCTTTATATTTCTCTACCTCTTCCATCCTATTTCTCATTCTTTCTCCAAGACTCAATCTCCATGTTTCTCTCGCCTATAGTTACCATTCTGTCCCTCTTTATCTCCTTTTAAACTATTATGTGTCTCTATCTCTCTCTCTCTCTCTCTCTCTCTCTTTCCCTCGCTTTCTCTCTACCTCTTGCTCTTTCCTTTTTCTCCTTCTCTGCTGCTAATGTACAAAAGTTCGCTAATAGCTTTACATTTCATTCCGCATTACCTTTACATCTATTTCATCTTCAACTCAAGCATAGATTATCATTCTCTCATGCTCGCTCTCCTGTGTCTCTCTCGCTATCTCTTTCTCTCTCTCAAATGTACGTGTTTTAAGCTAACTGCATTGTCTAAGCACATATTAAGTTTCAGCATTTGCAACAATTCCGCAAAATGCTTTGATTGAAACTTGAACCACTGTGCAAACACACACACTCACACACACACACACACACACAGTCAACAATCGGTTGTTGTTTAGCAACAGACATTCAGACAGCAGTCCCATTTAGGTATGTCTCTCCGTGTGTGTGTGTGTGTGGAGGTGGGGCTAGGGGTACTGCGTGTGTGCTCTTCAGCTAGCTAAGGCATCCAACAAAGCCGGGCCAGAAGCCAATGTACAACTTAATAATGCCGCAATTCCAGACGAGGGAGAACCAAATTGTAGTGTATATGGTGCAATTAAGTTGACTCTGTCACTCGTACCAAGGCTGTCGTCAGCGACTAACAACAATGTAAAACGGAGTCACTGAGAGAATATTTTTAGCATTTTGTTTCCATTTAGAGAAGTTTTTTTCAGCGAAATCCCAGCTCGCTAAGATAACAGCAAGCCCTCAGCTCTAGACGACAAGCCAAATATGTATATCTCGAAATATCTCTTGCTTATCATAGATGTATGCCTATAGCTATCCGATAAGCCAAATACATCTCGAAATATCTCTAGCTTATTATAGATGTATGCCCATAGTTATGCTCCTAGGAATTTCCTACTTTAAGTCGCAAAATGGTAACAGATTCTCATAGTCTAGAGCAGCGTAGTAGCTGCAGCAGTTAAAGCATCTGCAACGTCAAATTGGCAAAGCGACGTCCATGCTCAAGCGAGTGCATTGGGACGGACACGAATGGCTCTTAGCACCTTGGCCGGGACGGGCTGGCGACGGGCTCGAGCTGTGCGCCATCCAACATCGACTAGAACAACAATGTGGCGTGTCAGAGCAATTTTATGCCGGAAGGATGTTACACAGCTAGTCCGCACTTGTGGCCAATGAATGAGCACAAACAACATCAGCGACAACAACAAGGATAACACACTAACTGCAGTTGTCCGTTCGTTTATGAGTGTGTGTGTGTGTGTGTGTGTGTGTGTGTGTGTGTGTGTGTGTGTGTGTGTGTGCCTATATGCGAGCACCCCGCGCTAATATGCACTTGTGGAGCTCGCGTCTAATGCTACTCATGGAGCAATTTACACGGCTCCATTCGCTGACATTGGCAAGGACAGAAACAGGAATAGTAGCAAGGATATGGAAAATGGGTCGATATGTTATGTCGTTGGCCTGGCAGAGCATATAAATCACAATTACTTTCATGACGCGCCGGCATGATGACGCATCAAATACCCTGCAGTACAAAGTAAAAGTGAAATCAAATGAAACGAAGGTCATATAAGGCAGTTGCTATATAGATATATATAGGGACAATGTTTTAGGTACTTAGGATACTCAGTTATTCCATTCCATTATATTCCTTTTCGATTACAATTTTAAGCGTAATCTGCATTTATATATATTGTCATAGCTACAGGGTATCAGGGTGTGTATACTCATAGCATTGAACTTCTACAACACAGCACAAAGACTTCAAGTTGAATTAGTGCCTAGGTAAATAGTATTATCAGCTATAATTGTGCCGCAAATGCAATTTATTCTATGCTAAAGTCTGCCAGACAATATATATAGGGTATTATGAGTGCTACTTAATATTTCGCTAGCCACAAAAAAAAACTTTTTCTATGGCGTGGAGTTTTATTTGGTTTTGGTGTTTACTTTGGTTTGGACCCCCAAATGTCATGTTTCAATGCTTTGTTGTTTTAGTTGCTGTTATTGTTGTCTATCGTTGTTGTTATTGTTGTTGTTGTTGTTGTCTGTTGACAAACAGTTGAGCATTTCGCTAGCAAATTTGGCGTTTCAATTTATTGCTCGCCCGCACATAAAAATGGATCAAACTTTTGACGCCTAAACGCAACACAGAAAATAAAACAAAAGCAAAAATATACGAGTTACATTCGCCTCGAAGAGAACACAAATACACAGGCAATAGGAAATATGCGAGTGAGCCTGACTAGCCGATACCCTATAGAGATATATTAGCACAATGCAGCTCTGACAAACTATATGAATCTCACAAGATATATGATTAGGCTCCCAATATGACGCAAAACTCTTCCGAATTTGCATTCAAAATTGTGAAATGCCTGTAGGTTTTATGGGCGACCCACTGTGGCGCTTGCCTGGGCACAGGGCATGCTGTTGTCATCGTAAATAAATAATAAAATAAAACAAAGAGGGTAGAACAGCAACAGCAACAGCTACAGCTACAGAAACAGACACAAAAACACGCCTTGAATCTGCCCCATGTGACAGGCGTGACCAGGGCACTGGACAACTTTACTTTATACGAACTTTAGTTTAGTTTAGTTTAGCTCAGTCCAGTTCTTAAAGTTCTTTGTTTCTTGCTGTTGCTATTGCTGTTGCGGTTGAGGCTAGTTCAAGGCTTACGAGCTTTTCAGTTTCAATTAAGACCAACACTTTTTCCACATGGCCCAGCCTCGAGTAAACTGTTTGAATCTCTTAAAAAGCTACGGCTTTATTTATTAATTTCAAATTACGCATGGACATGGAATAACTGCATTTGGCGTAAAATTTCTTTTTCAAAGTGTTTAAATACTAAGTGCTTACAAAAGAGGATCAAAATGAATTACAAAACTTTCTTAACATCTATTGCAACTTGCAAAGAGAACTTGCATTCAACGAGGCTTGCATATGTGTAAATGTTTGAGCAGCATTTAAGCATCAATTCACTTGAATGCAATAAAAAATATATTGAAAAAATTTATGAAAAACAAATGTAGTTTAATTTCTTTCATTTGCTTAGTCTAGCCAATAAATATTCAAGTAAATGCACTAAATAATTTTACGTATGTATAAGTATAGGTATATGTACATATGTATATATGCATGTGTGTATGTAAATATATATGTATTTATGCCTAAATTTACACACCTTCCATTCTTATTTTATACAACTGCTATCAATATAAAATTGCCCCAGAGTGCTTTTTCTCTTTCTTTCTAACTGAGCTTTTCTAGAATGCCGACTCTAAGTCGCTTTCTATTCGTCCTCTAAAAATCATAAAGAGCATGCTCGAATGACTTCAATCCATCTCGCTCGCACTCAGCAATAGTCGGCACTGCGTTCACCCACAGCCATAATTGTTTCTCTCTCTCTGCCTCGCTCTCACACACACACAGAGTGCGTGCAGCTTAGACGCAAACCCACACGGATCACGTTTTCACTGCAACTCTGCAAGCTTAGCTTCGCACTAATACTAATGCAATAGCTAAGAGCCAATCACGCAATCGGAAGCATAGAGATGAGACTCGGCAGTTGATTCCACAGTCTCGTGTCATATTTTAATAGCGATTAACGATTCGAATAGTATTTTTAATAAATTACATGAGTATTTCAGTTCAAAGGGTGAAATTAACAGGGATTTAATATTTTAAATTAAGT